TACTATGACGAGTTTTTCTCTCGCTTGAATTTCATATGAGAATAGATGGTATGTAATCGAATTTTGTAAAATGATAAAAGAGCAAAGAAATCATACAAATAAAAAATCATTGAACTCAGATTTCAAACAACTCAAATAATATCTTTTTTACCTTGAAAAAGTCCGTTCCATTTATCGATTAATTTAGTAAAGTTCATTTTCTGCCGTTATCATCGTCTACAACATTACTGACGCAAACTATTAATGCGTCACAAAAACTTACATAAATTCAAGAATGTATTGAAATACAATTGTGATTCATAACGTTTATAGGTTTTCTAAAAATTGATAATAATCGTGATCTTTATCGAACATGCGGTTAGTAACGGTCATGACATCTAAAAGAAGTTAGTCATGCATGTGCCTAGCCAAACCGTGCACAAATCGAATAAGAATGATAAATAAACTTCTAAGGAATATAGAAAAACGCCGCCTGTGATAACTAACCTACTTTTCCTTAATCCTGGTTGTCGTTTTACGTTAAATACTGTCGTGTTGTTACAAGTTCATCATTAAAACCGAATCCAACATATTATGATGCACTTCCAATGATGATAACATCGAAAGGCACAACTATATTGAACTTTGTCTACGTGCCTTAAACTCTGTCACATTTTAAGCTTCCCTTATTGTAGAGATGAAACATCAAGGCAAGGGAGTCTTTTCGATTTAGTTGGATCGACGATCTGCATAATTTTATTGAGTCCCATGAGTCCTGTGATTACGATGTGGATATGACTTCGCCTTCGTCATATTTTATGGGACTCATTTTAGAATTCTTATTTTTCCCTTTTTTTATATTAATTTTAAAAAAATACGACAAACATAAAGTAGTTATCTATCTTGTATTCAAGGACTCACGGAACTCAAAAAACACTTCAATCCAACTAAATCGAAAATAGCGATGATGCTTCAATGTTTTTACATGATGAGATGTCTTGTGATTAATGATGAATAGAATCTTTTTAAAGAATTTTATTAAATATTGATAACGATAAGAATCAGCAATTTAAAACTAATTGCATTAAATGGATGCAAACTTGTAAGTGTTTTCATTGTTCCTCGATCTGGAACTATATAATTTGTTGATAACCAGTAGGAGATAAAACCGTCCCATTGAATTCTATGAAATATCGATAATGATAAGAATCAGCACTCAGAAAATCATATGTAAGTATTGTCATTGTTTCTCTGTTGGGAAATGAAAGACCTGTATTAGTATCATTTCATATAGTAGTTAATCGATAATCGGCGTGTAATTGTTGCTATTGTTTCTCTATTAGGAAATAAAAAATTTTATTATCTCATGTAAAACATATAATTGGCTGATAATACAGTAAGAGGTTCAATCGTTCTAATAAATTTTATGAAATATCGATAACGATAAGAATCAACAAATTAAATAATAATTACTGTATATCTTTAGAAAATCTGATCCAAAAATAATAAGAGATAAAAAATTATTTAGAATAATTAGTTTTTGTAGACCAATCACATTAAATCAATGAGAACGTGTAAGTATTGTTATTGTTTCTCTATTAGGAAAGAAAGTTTTCTCATGTAAAATATATAGTTTGCTGATGGTTCGTTTTTTCTTTTTTTTTTTAGTCAACCCAAATGGCAAAATATACAGTAGGAAGTATGTTTTTTTTTTTTTTTACGTTTTTAAAAAGTATTAATATTTATATCGATATTCTATTAATATCTATTCAGAAAAGGTTAAATTTACTCATCAAGGCAAAGAAAAAACTGGCACCATCGCTGGTGAACCATCGAAAGATGAGAAAAAACAATACCCGATTGAGGAATCAGTCACTAAAGAACGATTATGTGAGGGTTGTTTTAATTCTTAAGTTATAATTAATTAAAAATTAATAAATTTCAACTATTTTAGATATTCTCGAAGAAGATATCAAAGAAATCATCGGTTAACAGTTCATTTCTATTAAATGTGCTGTTTATTTTTCATAATTGTATGAACATAATATAATGTTCAACTTATAAATGAATTTGAAATTAACTTTTTTTTAGAATAAATTCATTTTATTTTTACTTCTGGGAATTTTTATTTTGATTAAAATTTTTTTAATAAATGTTGCCTAATACAGTACGTAGACCACGATGATAAAAATTTGGGTATCTAACGTGACTAAGTGATAATGATTGGTCAGAAAATAAAATAAAATCACAGGATTAAATGAGAGTATTATTCGACCAATTAAAATTTTAATAATTAAAAATGATCACAAATCACAAGATCGAATTCACAAAATCATATGTCAAACGACTATCGGTGCAATGTATAATGACAACGGTGAGCTAGTATTTGAACGTGAGAAGGCCAAATAAATTATGTAAATGACAGATAGTATGCTATACCTATTGAATTATTAAAGTGATAAAACAAAAATGTAGGAATAATGCGTAAGTTAAGACGAACACGTGATTATATCTTGTCTTTTTATTATCTCCATGATCTCATTATTTTAACCATCTTTTTAGACAAGGGAAAACTACGGGTTAATCATTCATACATCCTATGCAGACTTCCAGTACAATTACGGTTACTATCTCACGGGATGTCTTAGTCGTTCTGACCAAGTTTTCTCTATCATTTATTATGCTAAAATTTTCAATAAATTACCTTCGTTTAAATAACTTGCCAGAACATAACCGATCTAATCGTCGAAATTAGAGTTTAGAACCGGGGCTATTTTTTCATATGCTAAACGGTTAAGCCAGGTTCAACATATGAAAAATAAATAAACCCGGTTTGAACTCTCGTCGAAATAGTTT